AAATCAAGGGAGGTAAGAGAATACTATAAAGACTTCCAAAAATGGAAGGACATCAGGCACATAGGATTTGAAATCAGACATTAGCCATTTCAAAGCAGTGTAGAAGGTTTGAAAAAATGATGCAACATCCTTAAAATTCCAAATTACTAAGTTATTCCCCATTTATAATTCTATACTTAGCAGAACACATCCCATGTATCATTTCTCCGATCTTAGCATGAAAGTCTTCCAGATGACAAAGTAAATCAAGAAAGAGGAAGATACAAAACCCAGGAAGCAAAAGTTCCAAAAAACTTGTGAGAATTGAAAGTGCTAGTTTGACATCTTGCATGAGAGTAGGAAAGCAGTCAATCAGCCCTGGAGCAGAAGGAATGTTTCCAGTTGTGGAACTAGTATGTGACATATCTGGCAAAATTCGTTCAGAGGTCTAGGAAAGAATTATTTATAGATCAGAGATTATTTATAGACCAGATTAAATAAACAAAGTAATTATTAACTACAGGAAAAACAAATAAAGGAAAGGAACTTTGAATATAGTGGTTTACATAGCTCATATGTAACAATATTTAGTCATAATGTGAACATAATGTAAATAATTTTCTTTTTTGAAATTATATTGGCAGTAAAAGAGGATAGAGGATATTTTGTGTGACTAATGGCCTACAAGAGCCAAGTCATGTGCATAATAGGAACCAATAGATAAAAAAGAAAATTTTGTAAAATTATGAAAAAAAATGCAGGTACTTATCTAAAAATATGAGAAAGAAACCCAACTAAAGACGTTTTCAAGTAGCTGCTTATGGGAGTGGAGATCTTAGGCTGGTGAACTGTTTTTCTTTCTTAATCTAAAACAAGGGTCAGCAAGTCATGGGCCATATTCAGCAGCCTATTTTTATAAATAATGTGAAATACAGCCATACCCACTCATTTATGGGACGTCTGTGGCTGCTTTTATTCCACAAGAAGTTGTTTAGAAGAGTTGAGTAGTTCTGATGGGGCCTGTATAGCCTGCAATATAAAATATTTATTTTTGGCCCTTTACAGAAGAAATTTGTCAACCTCATGTCTAGAGCAGTGTTTCTCAAATTTTAGCTGCATCACAATCATCTGAAGGGCTTGTTAAAATACAGATTGCTAGATCACTTCAAAGATTATAGTTTATGATTCAGAAGCTCTGGGCTTGAATCTAGAGAATCTGCATTTCTAACAAGTTTGCTGGTGCTGCTGCTGCTGGTTTGGGGACTCTGCTTTTAGGTCCAATTGGTCTAAACGAACTACATTTTAAGAAAACATGTATGTACGTATAATGTGTATACAATAAATACCAAATGTTTGGTATAAGCTTAGAAATGTGTAAATGTTGGTAAAAATAAATACAAAAGTAACCTCTGGTGAGTTAAATGTTAAAATGCAATTTAAAAAAACAATCTTACAACGGGAAAAATAAGCTGGAGAAAATATCCTGTGTTTTATTAATGCTAAGATTTCACAGGTACATGCATAGATGTTAATAATTCATGAAACTTCTGCCACTGGATGGGCGCATATCCTTCAAGGGATTAGTGGTAAACCTCTTATCATTCTACCATTTATCAAAAGCAGATTATTGCCTTACAATATCATTATGCAAATAGTTATTTAAAAATCCTTCTGCTTTCTCTATTAAAATATTCTTTCGCTCATTGAGTATCTTGTAAAACAGTTGTTTTCTGGACCAAACAGTTCAAGAAACTTAATGGTAAACCTACTCCTCCTCCCTCAACCCCTTTCACAGATGACAAAACAGATACCTGGAATTTGCTGGGTTGTAAATCCAAGAACTCCTGACCCAATCCCTACTCCCCAACACTCTCCCACCCCAGCGCCTGTTTGCATTGCCTCAGGTGGTGAGATAAAGACCCTGAATAAATCCAAACTCAAATCAAGCAAGAACTAAAAAAAAAAAAAAAAACCAAAAAACCAACCAACCATTGTTAATACTAGAGACCATCTTTTTTCTAAAAGCCTGAAACAAAGGAAATTTGCTGCTTCCAGGAATAGCCTTAATCAGTCACATATGTGAACATAGACCAGTGACTGTTGAGACCATTTTCCACCAATACAACAGTATTTTCCCAGCACATTATTTTTTTTTTCCTTTTACCTCTTATCACTGTAAGTAGTTTTTGGTTTTGTTTTTAAGATCCTAGGCATGACACCTGATCTTTCATCCCTTTGCCGAAAATCTGCAGTATTTGAAAGCAAAAATGAAGGATTATTGAGGGTAGAAAGAGTCCCTGGTTGGTAAAAATAAACGGCTTTAAAAGTCTAAGAATTGTGCCCTGCGGGGGTGGGTTTGCTGAACTGTCAGCTCCACCAGTTAATGAGGTAGTTTGTCTAATGGAGATAGAAGCGACCATTTATAACAATGCTGGGCATTGTGTGTGATTTAAAAATCAAATTGAGTGGAAATGCAGCAAACACTAAATGGCATTGTTTATTTTCTAATTAATTTACTACTAACTACACAATAGAAGTGTTAAATTAGATCATATGAGATTTTTAGAAGAGAAAGCACTGAAAACATGTACCTCTCAGAGTCCATTTACTACCTTTTCGTCTTCAAAGTAAGTTGTGGTTTGAAAGTTTGCAAAGGACTTTGATATTTGGGGAGTTAAGTGTGTTACATAAGCCAACCGGGAATGTAGTCTCATTAAGGTTCAGCGAACTTCTAGGTAGCCTCAGACCTTATGGTCTTACTGTTGATGATATTCATCCTCAGTATTAATAGATCAGGGATTCAAGGTCCTGGGGAGAATGTCATCTGAGTGAGGACAGCTACTCACTTTACAACCACTCATAGACTTTTTCCTATGTAGGGTACAACCAGGACAAGGCAGGCACTTAATATATAAAAACACAGCATAACAGAGAGCGAAAAACAGAGATGTAGAAGCAACCAGATATAGATTCCAATTTGGGCTAAGTCAGAGGCTGACTGTGACATTGAGAATCAGTGTTTTAAACTCACTGAGACTTAGTTTTCTCATGTGGAAAATAATTACTGCCTTGTAGGTCTATTCTAAAAGCTAGAGCTTAGAGTTTGTAAGTAAAGTGCCTGATACATGGTAAACAAATAAATGGAAGTTGTTTTTTGTTTGGGATTTGTATTAACCAATCAGGCTTACTTCAGAAACTGAGACATCAGTAAACCTTAATGGGTCTTTGTTTTCAACTTCAGCTAGATCCTTATCTTCTTCCATAACAGGACCACTGTGATGTGGTCTCCTTACCCTGATCTCCAAAGTCTTACCCAGCTGGGCCTCCCTGGTGGTGCAGCGGTTGAGCACTGGGTTGTGAAGCGGCCCGCAGCCTCTGTAGCACTGGTTCGATTCCCGGCCTCTGGGCGAGGGTCCCACATGGCGCGCAGACCTCTCCTGCCGCCTGCTGCTCCCCTCAGCAGTGTATTTCCGTCTTTCTGCCTGCTCTGTTCTCCACTCTGGCTCTGGTGGATTCTCTCACCCTCCCGTGCTTCTGACTGTGCCCAGTGCTTGTATAAATAAATAAATCTTAAAAACAAAAACAAAAACAAAGTCTTACCCAGCGTGATTGTTCCAAGAAGCATATTATTTGATGGGACAACATAAATGTTTACTGTAAACTTTTACCTGGTATTTACTGTTTACCTACGTGTTCGCTCTGCACCAGGCACTATTCTTTTCCTAGAATTACCTCCTTAGCTCATTTAATCTCCACAACACCCCTCTGAAGTAAATTCTATTACTATCTTTATTTTATAACAAAACTGACACATTGAATGGTAAGATAAATATCCAAGGGGCAGAGGTATGATTTGAACCTAGGTGGTCTGACTCTAGAATCATGCTCTTGATAACCACTCTCTGCTGGTCTTGGGTTTTGTTCTTGTTTCCTGCCACATGGGTTTGCATTCAGTAGGTGCCAGAGTTTGAGAGCTTCTACTGAATATTGGCCATCAGAACCAATGTGAACCTGTGGAGTATATTGTCAGCTCATCCCTGGAACTGTTTCAGCCTTCCATTCCCAGGCTAAAGGAATTCAAGTTGGGCAGAACTGGAGTATTATTGTGGGAGACCAGGCATTTTCATTCCCCTTAATCACATGTCCTCAGCCAGGAGTTAAAACTAGAAATGCTGTAGAGGGCAGAAACTACATTAGTATTAATCCACACTCTATCTCTAGTGCTTACATCAATACCTGCCAATAAAGAAGGGTTAGACTGAATGGATGATTAGACAGATGAAATAAAGGATGGTGGTTGTATGGATCAATGGATGGGTAGATGGGCAGATTGTTTTCTTATTAGAATTAAGCATATACTGTTGGCAGTAGGAACTGACAAAATATTTCACTGTTGTTTTTTTTTTTTATGACTGTATCTCTTATCTTTCATTGGGTTATAGTTTTCTCTCTCAATTATGTTTTTATTGTTGAGTGTGTCATTTCACCATTAAAATCCAAAGTTGCTCATATAAAATACATAAAATTTTGGAAACAAGATAGCATTAAACTATCAATTTCTCTAGAAGCAGGAAAATAGTTCCATTCATTCAACAAATATTTATTGAGTTTCTGTTGCCTGTCAGATGCTCTTAAAGGAGGTTGAAATATAACTTTTAACAAAACAGGAAAACTTTGCCCTCCTGGTGAGTACATTCTGATGGGGAAGACAGAGAAAAACAAACTCTCCCACATGTACTCAATCAAGTAGTTTAAGGGTCATGGCGAAAAGTTAAGCAGGGTTAGGAATATAGGAATGACTGGAAGAGTTGTTTATATCGGATAGTGCTATTTTGAAACTGTGTAGAAGTTTTATTCTATATTGTGATGTTAGAGTTTAAAAAAATTGAAGTCATGAATGTAGAAGAATCTGGCAATTAGAAACCTAGATTAATAATAGAAATTTTTCACAAAACTTCATAAAGAAGAAAATATTTTGACTTGCGAGATAAATCTATTTTTTTTTTTCTTTTCTCTTACAGAGTTAGCAGCTCTGGACTTTAAACTTCCCAGTTTTAAACTGAGAAGTTGAATTAAAGAAAGTCATCCTCCGTGTAATCAGCATAACAAAATGAGAGGTGGAGAAACCAGGCTGGGAAGAAGTAAGATCTTCTGCTGAACCATCTTGCCTTTTGCCCAAAACACAGCAGCCTCAACTCTTGCTCAGAATTTACCTGCCCCGTTTTTGTGCACAGCCTGAAGGGATGCTTTCCCACTCCAGAGCGCCTTTCATGCTTGAGGCCTGAAACATGACCACCAGTAGCCACGCATGTCCAGTTCCGGCAGTGAATGGACACATGACTCACTATCCAGCCGCACCCTACCCATTGCTCTTTCCACCAGTCATCGGAGGACTGTCCCTGCCTCCCCTCCATGGCCTCCATGGCCATCCTCCTCCTAGTGGATGCAGCACCCCATCACCTGCAAGTAAGTACCACTGGAATTTGCTTTTATTTTCTCTTGGTTGAATTGACATAATGGACCTGAGAAAACAAGATGGTTTGTATCTTGGTGAGTTCTTATTTCATTGGCTGTTGATGTCTTTGGTCAAGGTTTGTACCTTCAGTTTTATTGGCAGATAATTTGATTAAAAAGATAAATGGTGAATAATGGAATTTAGGTCACTCACAACCACCTTGGTATTTTGTTCTATTTCATAAAATGTAAACAGATATCAGTAAGATACTAAAAGAAACTAACCTCTCGATAAATAACATACTCAGTGAGTTAAATCATTAATGATAATCCTGAATTGAACATTGATGTTGATTGTGAGATTTCTTTTGAATCTCTTACTCATTTCCTGGGTACAGATAATATCTGCAATTATTCTTAACTTCCAGGGACCTTTGCTACTAATTCATATCACAATAAGCTTTTGTAATGTCCTTGGCTGCTTTGGGTTCTATACTAAGCTGTTCTTTAACTCCAGTTTTCTCTAAAATATTGGGTGTAAAGTTCTATAAAAGTAGAATTAGATTATTCAAGTCTGATATGGCTGTTTATGGAAAGCATTCATATTAAATGATTTCAAGAAAAAAGATTGCATGTTTAAGGATAAGCTGTGATAGCCAATATGGTTTTTGCCTTTCAGAAACAAGTTGCCTTATTTAGCATCTGGAGGTAAAAAGGCTTGTTGATTCACTCTGTTATGTCAGATATCCATGGTGCCTTCTCCAAGTTATCTCAACTGGAGCTCTTCAAAGCTCTTCCTGGTGATTATTTTGCATTTTGCTGCTCTTTAAAATTTTCTTCCAAATATAGTCTTGGTACTTAGTTTTTTGTTTTTTGTTTTTTTCTTTGAAACACTACCCTAGGTTTTCTGTATTATGGTCTTTGTGCCTTAACTTTGCCCTCCAACTATATCTGTAGCTCACTGGAAGCAGGGACCTTCTTTTACCTAACTGGATCCCTCAATTCCTAATATGGTGCCTTCAAAAATAATAGGGGGTGGATGTTTAGAAGTCTAGATATTCAGATGGATGGATGAATGAGCAGATGGAAAAACAGACTTGCACTGCAGGGATGTTGATTGATGTTAGCATGTCTGATACATGCTGATTTGTGTTCCATCTTGGAATGACCTTATAATTCTTACCTTCTGTATTTTGGATTTCAGGCCATTGCATGTGATACACAAAGTCTTTTAAATTGCTTAATAACATTCTCCCATGCTTCTTTAGCTCAAATTGAATGTAATTGTAGCTGAAGTAACTTCTTGGATATCAGGAGAGATGGAAAGATATCTGTATTCAAGTTATTTTGTTGAACAGGTATCAATTCAAACCTTATTCACACAACATGAATAGGTTTGACTAAATAATGATTAAAGTGATTAAAATTTCACCAAATAACTTTTGTATCTAATTTGGTATTTCAGTCAGCCTGATGGACAGCATATTCTATGACATTTCTTTTATCAGGGTAGAAGTTGGTTTTGTAGACATCACCAAGGAATTAACAGTATTATGAATATTGTTCCCATCTTTGCTAATCTAATATTGAAGATTACAAACACTTAGCTACCATTATTAAGTGCCCAGAAGCAAATCCCAGCAACTTTGGATGTTACTGACTACTAATTTTAAGGAAAATGCAGAGCAAAAAAGTAAAATGGTGAGTGAGCTCTTTATGCTGAATTAGCACCCTGCATATTGAACAGTCTCTCAATACACAAATCCCTAGCCCATCTGTTTGCAGATTTTTTTTAAATCTAAGTATTCTAATAGCACAATGCTTGGCAAACTACAGCTTATAGGGCCAATCCAGCCTGCCATCTGTTTTTGTAAATAAAGTTTTATTGGAACACAGCCATCCTCATTCATTTATATATTGTCTAAGACTGCTTTTATGATAATTAGAGTGATGATGTAGTTCACAGATCCTAAAATATCTAAAATATTTACTATCTTGCCCTTTACAGAAAAACTTTGCTGACTCCTTTTATGGAGATTAGAGAATTGGGTTGTGAATACAATCATCCTGAATCTAGTTTAGATGCTGTCTCTAACTGATGACATTAACTCTTCTAATTTCTTCTCTCACATTGAGTCTTAGTGGCTCAGCCTGTACCTAGAAGTAACTGAGGTATGTTATAAGTAAGGTTCTTTTCTCTTATAAGGTTATGCTGTTCATTTCATAATAACTAATAAAGCACAAGATGCCATCACTGCTAAGATGAAGTGTAACACAGTTGCCTTTTTTCTGGATTAAAATTTGTCAAATATCAGCAATTTTAAATGATCAATATTTAGAAATGGATTGGCAGCACAAAGGAAAAAGGAGAGTAAAGAATTGATGATAGTTTTTTTTCTGGGGGCCCTAGAGAAATGATACTGAGTACTGACCTTGGAGAGTGACTGGAGGAGGGGAAGAAAAGAACTAGGTAGAGTTCAGGCTGGAAACCTCAAAAGTTGGCTTCCCTCAAACCCTAGATAATACTTTGTTTTATTATTTCTTGTTACGGAGTACATGAAAGTGTCTCAGATGAAAATCATTCAAAGAAGTCACTATTAATATGTAGTCTGTTTGTTGTCCCTGGAATAGGGAGTGGTCTTTGTTAAAGTCTGTGGTTTAGAAAGACCAGGAAACAAGGGTAAGATCTTACACACAGACTTGGCTAAAAATAACTTTTAAGTTTTATTCATGTACTGAGATTAGTTAGGGAGGTAGCCGAATTCTATAAAGTTTCAATAACTAGCAAAACACAGGCTTTAATGGAAAAAGTCAGCTAATATGGAATGAAAAGGGAACAAGCATGCAGGGTAATGACTCCATAAAGAGGGCCATGCCATTGAGCTATGCGACTTGCTGGTCATCTGTCATAATCATGTTCTGTTATATCTGTACAGTCAAGATTCTGCTGCTTAGCCAAAAAAATAAATTCTCCAGCCCCTGTAACATTCTTTCAGCATCTTGTAATCATCAAGGTTCAAAAGCCTTCTACCTCAAAGTGAATGAGGGCTATTTCCACAGCAGCTACTGATGTTGCACCTACACCTTACCCCTTCTTTCATTGACTTCTGATTCTCTGGTCAGTTTGTTCTCCCAGACTGAACCTGAACTCTCTTGATCTAACCTCTCACTGTGGGGTGTGCGTGTCCCCATCCCTGCACATAAAGATGTGCTTGAGCTAACTTCTCCTTTACTCATTTATCTTTCTCTCGCATCAACTATAAAGTACTAAATCTCATAATAATCATACTTAGATCTGTTAAAGATCAAACTGAGGTATAAATTATAAAATTTATACAATAATGGGGTGAAATTGAGTTATCTCCAAAGCCTTTTGAACAATTTTCAACAGGCAATGATTCTGTATTTTATAGTTCAAATTTTTTTCCTGGTCCCCATGCTATTTATAGGCAAATAACCCATCTTTCCTTGGTTTGTACCAGTGGTGGACCCTGCATTTCTGCACAGGGAATACTTACCTTTTAGTATGATCATTGTAGCCACTCACAATTCAGATGGAAAGATGTGGGCACTTTTCAGAAACTGCTCACCAGAATCTTCTGACACACCATTTACCCTAAAGGGAAAAAACATTATTTTCAGGAAAGACGTGCACATAAAATAGCTGTGTGTGCATGCCCTTGTCTTGCATGCTGATTTAATTCTTATATCATCATGGAGTCTCTGTAAACTTAGAAATCAGGAACCATAAGAAAAGAGGGAGTTAAAATGAATAATAAAAACTGCCATGTATCAAGTGACTCATGGATATTCCAGTGAACATTGAGCGTCTTATCATTTTCCAGACTTAGCTTGTTAACTGAAGGACTGTGTGTTTACCCAAACCTTCTATTCTTTATTGGGGTCTTCTTTTTTTTTTTTTAGCTTTATGAAGTCTGATTATTACTGAAATTCACTGTTAAGTGTATAGGTCAATGAGTTTTAGAATTATCTACAATTTTGCAACCACCACTATCATTAAGATTTAGGACTCCTCCATTTAATGCCCCAAATTCCTTCATGCCCCTTCCCGGTCAGTGCCTGCTCCTACCCCCCAGAAAAATCTAATATGCTCTGTTGCTGTGTTTTTGTCTTTTCTAGAATTTCAAATGATTGCATTTATACAGTGTATAATCTTTTTGTCTGGCATCTTTCTCAATATGTTGTTCTAAGATTCATCCATGTTCTTGCCTCTGTCAGTGGTCTGTTCCTTTTTATTGTTGAATACTACCCAGAGTGTAGAGGAAGTACTTTTTATTGATACATTGATTGATGGATGGGCATTTTGTTTTTTCTCATTTTTGGCTATTACTAAAAATGCTGCTAAAAATATGCAAGTGAAAAAAAAAGTATGTAATTGTTAATCTTTTATCATAACCTCCTAATATGACTGTCCACACCATTAGGAACCATCCCATTTCACAAATGATGACCATGTGGTTTTGAGAAAGCAAAGAACTTATCTAGCCTCTCAATACAGAGCCAGATCCCCACTCAAATCTTGGGACCCCAAAGTACATGTCTTTCTCTGCATGCTAGGTGGTGAGGCCAGCTAAACCTCTCAGGTAACCCATATCTTCCCAGGGAGATCTCTTTCCAATGCTATTTCATGGGCATCTTGGTGATGAACATTCAAATTATCTTACAACCTGTTACTTCACCAACTACTGTTAGATGAAGCAAATACCATTTTTTCCATCAAAATGGGGACTTGAAGGTAGACCCCATAGCCAGGGAGTTGCTGCAGAGACCTTTGCTCTATCCTTGAGGCAGATAACTTGCCACCTCCAGGCAGCATAACTTTCACTGGGAAGGAAGCCTGATTGGCAGAGCCAAGGGACATTCAAAGTTAATGTCCAGAGCTCTTTCTCTGTGAAAGTTGGAAAACTGTCTGTCTGTCTGTTTATTTTACTTTGGTGACTGCTTGTTCTGTTTTATTGCCATACATGTGTTTTTTTTTTAATAGGTTGTTG